GAGGATCCCATTCTTGTAGTCAAAACCGAATTTAATACCGCATGGGATTGGTTCAGCATTAAAAGCTTAGAGGATACCATTATGCATAAGCTAAATCGTTATAGGAACGATTTCGTGTCCGGTGTGTATGGGACGCAAAACACACCGGTGTACCAAGATAGATTGACCGAATGGCTCGTGCCCGCTCACGCTCCGGCTCCTGACGTACTCGAACATCTGGGCCTCCCACGGGAAGCACTTTTGATTAGGGACGTTAGTGTAGTAGGCGGCGTTAAAGCCGAGTCGGCCGCGATATTAGATCTTGGCAATTATGTAATGGGAAATGCAAGGTGGCTTGTATCGCGCAAAAGAACACAAAATTTTGCCGATCTAGCATCACTCTGGAGAAATTCCCTCCTCAAAATAGCATTAGAACAGGACGATTTTATTCCTCCTGTTGAAATATAGATATACACTTAGCGTGCGCGCCACAGCGAAGCCCTACGGAGGGTCCCTAAGTGCAGGTAACGCAACCATACGAACGAGGGTGAAGCTAAGTTCGAAAGTCCTCTCCGTCCGGCGGGTTTCCTCCGGGAGATTTGCCTTGCTTTAATGCAAAGGATGGCGGGCTAAGTGGTGAATTGACATCGACCAGAAGGGAGCTACTCCTACTGGGTTCAGTCATGCGCGTATGTTTACGCAACTTGTGCTGGCGGGCACTGTGCATAGTGGAGGTAACGGCTCCCGATGTGTGGTGACTTCCTATAAAGCTTAGCGCCGGAAAAGCGGCGCGGGTAGAAATCTATATATATTCTTTATCTAATTTTAATGCTTCGGACACTTTTAATATTGTCTTTATACGTATGCGGTCATTTTTACGATATGACGCTAGGAGCCAGAGATGGCTGTACGGAACTGATCGGTTCCCGTACATGGCTTTTTCAAGGAAGCCCCCCTAAGCCTAACTAACTTAACCTAACTTCCTAAGCCCTAACCCTAACTAGCCTAACCGCCTTACGGTCTAACTAACCGTTGTTTAAAAATACGTAACGTTATTAATAGTTCTTCTATTCGTAATCAGGTCCTTGTGACAGATGTCACGTGACCGGTTGTCGTTCCGATATTTGTTTATGGAACTTCTATTACGTAATAGGTCTAGACCTTCGGTCCAGACTCGGATCAAACTATTTTTGCCTCTTACTCATTGTAGATTGTGTACGCCTGTTTACCTTTTTATAGAGTTTGACATCTGTGAGAGATTTTTAATGGCGGCCTTCGGCCACCTGCTGCGGCACTAAAAATACTTTTAGGCTTATTAACGTTGATAACATTATTAGACATGATACGATACTTCTTATCTTCGATAAACCTTCGTACTCAGACACATACTCCTCTCGAATATGTGTGTCCCCTCCTATTTAACCAGCTAGAAAACTGATGAGAGTACCATACTCGAAATACCACCTCAGACTACCTAGTAGCCGGGGGTATTTTTTCTAGTTTATCTCTTCAGTTACTTGTGCGCCCACCAGCGTTTTTACCCCCTAACTAACCCTAACTAACTAACCCTAACTAACCCTAACTAACCCTAACCCTAACTAACCCTAACTAACCCTAACTAACCCTAACTAACCCTAACTAACTAACTAACTAACCCTAACTAACCTAACTAACCCTAACTAACTAACTAACCAAAGCCAGCAACTCATATAGATAGCCTAGCTCTAACAGGTGGGCGGGTGGGATTTGCTTGATTCGTAGCTTGGTGTGTTTCCTTGATTCCGCTGCGTTATTGCTATCATAGTCTGGGGTGACACTTTGGTCGAGGTCAGAATTTGCATATGATTTTGCTTGATTTTTGCGCTATTGTATTTGTGGCGGGGGCGGTGTCTTTGTCTGGGGTGATACATTGGATGAGGACAGAGCCTTGTGTTGAATTGACATGATTTTATTGTTGTGGTGCGAGTCGCTTTATTTTTTGCTGCAGTAGTCTTGGGCGAGAGGTTGAAATCTTGTTTAGACTTGACTTTGTTTTTCTTGATTTTTGTGATTTTATTGCGGTGATGTTGCTTGATATTGGCTGTTTGATTGTCTGCAGAGATGTGTCTGTGAGGTCAGAATTTGGTTTTGACTTGAGTTCATTTTGCTTGATTTTTGTTATTTGTTGAGCATCAGTTGCTGCGGTGGATGCGTGGATTGGCAGAGGACAGAGTTTTGATTTGCTTGATTATTGCTGTGGTGGATGTGGCTGAAAACAGAGTTTTGATTTGCTTGATTGTTGCGGGTGGTATGTGTCTGGGGTGACGTGTTGGCTGAGGTCGGAATTTGGTTTTGACTTGACTTGATTTTGCTTAATTGTTGTATGTTTTTGCGCTTTTGTTGCTGGGACTTTGCTTGATGTTGGCTGTTTTTTTTGCTATGGTGGTCTTGGCTGAGGACAGAATTTTGTTGTTGCTGGGGCGGTGCTTGTCTTGGGTGATGCATTGCGGTAGGTCAGAATTTGGTGCAGACTTGATTTGGTTTTGCTTGATTTTTGTGATTTTTGATGATTTTGTTGCTGGGAAGTGGAGCGAGAGCGTATTGGTATCGGGGGGATTTTGTTGATTTTGCTTGACTTTGAGTTGTAGTCTGCTGGGGGGATGTTGGTCATATTACTGTGTGTAACTGAGAAATGAGACAATGAGACACCGAGACAATATGTTCCTTATTCTAAGCATTAACCGAGACAACGAGACACCGAGAGAATACGTTCCTTATCCTAAGCGAAGCTAACGAGACACCGAAGCCTAAACTAACGAGACACCGAAACCTAATGAAGCGAGACACCAAACACTAAGCTAACATGGGTGGGGGGTGGGGGGGACTTGAATTTATCTTGGTTGTTATCTTTGATGTCTTGCATTGATTTGATTACGTGCTTGAATTCATCTTTGTTGGTATCTTTGTTGCATTTCCTTGATTTGATTACGCACTTGAATTTGCCTTGGTTGCTATCTTTGTTGCATTTCCTTGATTTGATTATGATCATGCGGTTGGTATATTTTGATACAGATGCTACATTTCTATCAAGGTTTTCTTGGTTGCTTGATTTGATGTGCGTAAAGGTGAGCGGATGATACATATTATATGCGGATGCTTCATTTGCGCAAAGATAAGGTATGAGGATGATGTGTTGACTTTGTTTGATGTTGTCTTGACTTTGCTTTATTTTGCATTTTTTTTTGCTTATGGTGATGGCATGATCTTGACTTCATTGTGCTATGACTATCATAATTGGGCGAGGCATCTGGCTGAGGTCAGGATCTCATTGTATCTTTGCTTGATTTTAGTTATTGCTGGGGTGGCGCTTGTCTTGGTCGATGCGTTGGTGGAGGTCAGAATGCTGTTTAAATTCGACTTCATTTTGCTTGATTTTTGATATTTTGTTCCTATGGTAGTCCTTGATTTTGGCTGTTTTGTTTCTGTGGTGGTATGAGATTGCATCGCTATTGTATCGCTCGTATCTTGGCATGGTAGACACTGAGCGCATTGGTCGAGGTCAGGATCTCATTTTGTCTTGGTTTCATCTTGCTTCATTTTTGTGATCTGATTGCTATGTTGTTGCTTGATTTCAGATGGGCGGGCCAAGGTCAGGATCTCATTTTGCTTCATTTTTGATTTTATTGCTGTGGTGTCGGATATATTTTGCGGTGCGTACGATAGGCGCTCAGACTATCAATGTCAGTATCAACAATTGAATTTTCTCCAGAAAACATATTCTTCATTGGTGTCTTAGTTATCGCTTGACTCGCCTTTATTTTTGCTGCAGGAGAGGTTGGAATTTTGTTTCTTGTTGATTTGATTTTTGATGTTTTGTTGCTTTGGTATCGATTGATTTTGACTGGATCTTAGCATCGTAATTATTGCTGCGGTGGTGATTCGTGGGCCAAGGATTGAATTTGGTTGCAATTTGACTTCATTTTGGCTGTTTTATTCCTTGACTTTCCTTGATTTGTGGCTCATGTCTGATTTTATATGGGTCGGACATGGATGGAATTGATGCGATGGATGAGGACAGAACCTTGTGTAGACTTGGCTGTATTTTGCTTGATTTTTGTGATCATATTGCTGTGGCGTAGCTTGATTTTGTTGTCAATTTCACCTCACTCAGTAGTAGCATAGGGAGGTCAAGAGTGGCTCTCCTCATTGAGTGAGTGTTTGATGAGATGCAAAGGACACAGACATGGTTAACAACTTGAAGGACTCAGATGAGTAACTTGGAAGAGCATTCACAGTGCAGAATGATTTTAAATGATTCTGACTATGGTAGAGGTTCTATGACGAGAAAGTATTCAGCTGACAACAGATGATCTGCTACTTAAACTGGTCCAATGGGCCCACTAAGTGATGTACATCAACCTGCTTACCTGCATGAAAATGTATGGCTGAATAGTTACATCATCAGATGGCTGCAGTATCTCCTCACAGACCTCCCAGATTTGGCGACTTGTGATGCCTAGTAAGCACCAGCTGCTGTCTTCAAAACCAAAGAATGAACTTCAAGTGGATTGTCAGCATCCCTTTTCCACCAGGCACCTGCCAACCTGGCCAGTAACAATTAGCTGACTCTCAGGCTCACTGCCATTCCCAGCCTTTCGTCAAATCTCTGAAATAGAGCTGTAACTGAGCCTGCTATTGCATCATTATATGTCTCAACTTACTGAACAGGCAGCAACACCAACATGTCCACAAGGACCCTCCAGAGATTAATTGAGTGTTCATGTCTTTGTTTCGAATCTAAAATCATCTTGGTACCTGACACACCCCTAGCTGTGGCCTACATGCCACTATATGTGTAGTGAATGATAACAAAATAAAGAGAGGACAAACGCAAATGTGCCGTGAGATGTATATATGAGTTTGCAGAACACCAAGAACACATGCAATACATAGAAAAATGGAATCGAAAATGTGAGATATGAGTAGAACAAATAATGCAAGAGAGAGACTAGCTTGTCGCTATCCTCCAGCTTCGAAGAGATTCATTGGAGTCTCCCAGGGTCATTCTCGAATCCAGCACCCTCAAGTATAATGGTCATGCAGTCAAACGCCTTGAGAGCATCAATGACAATATTGCTGGAAAATTCCGCCATAGGCATGAACCCTCCCTCAATGACCTCAAGTGCACACTGTCTGTTATTCGTAGCCTGCGCGAAGAAATCAGTGACCAACCTCACATCTGCCTCCTTGCTCTCGAGCGCGGACGCAAGCAGCTTGTCCACGAGCCGGAAGCGATGCTCGTCAAGAAGATTGGTAAGTAGATCTCCACCTCTTGAAGGTTCTTCTTCAGAAGGAGTTGTGGCATGCTCTTCAGTAGTATGAACGGACCGTGAAAGAAGCTGGTCCAGGAGCCTCCTGCACTGTACAGCGGGCTAAGAAACGCCAGCATGATCAAGATCAACGTTCAGTTTCCGACTCGACCAACGACCAGGTTTCGTAGAGGCCTTAGCGGCGAATTCAGGTTCTGACTGAGCACATGGAACCGAATTCGTCCGGGAAAGTGTCTCCTGCTTGCTGTCCTTCTTGCCAGCCATGAAGACGCCGCTTGAACACATCACCATTCCCATGGCTGGGCCATTGAAGATTTTCCCAAACTGCGACAGATCACGAGCCTGGGGAGGTGCCCATGGAACAGAATTGCCACCCATAACAGCCCAGCCATCAGGGCCGTGTTCTTGGTTCCAGTGGTCACCGCGTCGAGAACCACTTCGAGACATACTTATCTGACGATTGAAAGATTCCTTATCGGCAGCTGCTATCTCCTTAACAGCCAGCTTTGGACCAGTTCGTGAACAGCAGCGATCGTCGTAGGCACAGTAACAGCATCCAGACTGACCCACACACGACCACGCAAGTCAATGACATCCTGAGGCATGAACTGCATATGAGAACTGACGTTGAGACTATTTCCGAGCTCCTTCACTCGCTGGTGGGTGATGAAGTCTGAACTTTGTCATCAGCTTCTTCAGCTTCGAGCTGAGCTCCCTCTGCCTCAAGAGTATCTTACTGTTTCCATTCCTCCTCCCCCAGTGCGATGTGTGTGAGTCTACCTCTTGCTTCAAGGTCTGGCTCCTGACATAGGGGCTCCTTCTCAAATTCCTCTGCTTGTCGTACACGCTCCTTTTCTTCCTCCTGCATGCACACCCGGTCGTCCTCAGCCTTCCTCTCACATATAGCATCTTCCTCATCTATCCGCTTAGCCTCTTATCCTGCTTTGCATTTCTTCTGCTCCATAACATCCTTCTTCTCCTGCTCTTCCCGTGCATTCTCCTCGCGCGCGCTTCAATTCCTCATCCCCAATCCGTACTGAAACCGAAGGTTACCATCGATTGGTCACGACAAGCGATGCATGTTGATAAAACTAAAACACTAGAGTGACGACGAACAAGTGAGGTGAGGCCCATAGAAAGGAAACTTATGTACGTACCAAGCACGACGACGGACAAGTGAGAGGAAGTGAAGACTTCCTAAATGCCATCTGCGCTAACTTTTGAAACAGAGATTGCTCAGCATGGGCATCAGGCCAAGAGCACGTGGCAAAGTTACATGGAGGCGCCGGTACCATCACATACACATGCAAACGGCTGTAAAAGGC